ACGCCGGGCCATTTGGTTATCATTCAGCAAAAGCCTTTGGGAAGGGGGGGGGGGGGGTTCAAATTGTTCTCAAGCCAAGCGGGCGTTAAAAAGTTAGCTGTCTGCTTTTGCGCGCAGAAATGTACTCACTGGGTTTTAAGGTGTTTTATCATAGCCTATTTCCTCATATTGTAACTGCATAATCGCTTTATCATGTACAATCCATTGGTAAAGACATTAAAGTGATTAGCGTACCATACTAGAGTAGGAGCTTGTATTCTTACAATGCCGCTTTTTAGGCTCCCCCAACCTTGCTGGTTAGCCGTTATTGCGGTCAAAAGAATATTCACGCAAATTTATATGTACTATTTTTTCTACAAAAGCTGCGATTAGCTAGTGGAATAATTTTAAAAATTACACTTTCAACGCAATTTTGATCAATTAAGTCAAAATTTGCAAAAAGATATGTTCACGCGTTGCCTGCTCACGACCGAGTCCTAATCGCATCAGCGTTCTCACCACTAAAGCGTATTTTGTTTGCAGAAATGGCGTCCTCGGACGTCGCAAAATGCTGTGACAACCCGGATTTCGCCGTTATATGCTCGTTTTTGGAAAAATTTGGCGGAAAATGTGGTATAGTGTATCCTCCATTCTCCCGGTTGCAGCAGATGCTAGAATCTACGGACGAAGGTGAGCTGTTTGAATGGATAAGTGTCAGTGGAAATGCCCGGCCGAAGCTGTGTGGTTTATGTTTGACGTGACATGTCTGAATGGACTGAAATATGCAACTGAGTGATATCACTTTGATGGTGTATTCCAGTGCTTTTACAGCAGCATGGAAACTTGAAATACATGGCTTGCATTATTTTATGATTGCTGGAACTGACAATTTGAGTGAATGATTTGATTTGATCCAGGTGTTTTTAGACATGCCAACAAAACATGCATGTTATGCCATGTATGATTGTTATGCTGAACTTTGCTGGACAGCAGTAATATCACATCCTGTGTTTCAGTGTGTGTGGTATCACTATATTTGCTAGGCAATCACAGGCAAAGTATTATCAAAACATTTTTCATACCAAAATTTCTGAAAACGCAACTCAATTTGGGCATGCCTGAGCTTGGCACTTGTTAGTGAGAGGCTCTGTGTACTGATGTTGTGTGGGTGTCCAGTGCAGTGGATGAATTTGTTATGGTCTGCTGCTTAGGTGGACTTCTTTCCCATGTTATACATAGACAGTTTGAAACTAAGTAAGAAGATTGTATTATGGGTGGTGTTAACTCTGTAATGTGCCTTAGCTAACTGCTATGATGGTAACAGGAGCAACTGATTGTTGTCACATGCATGTGGTGCATAAGCATGACCTATTGAAATCAGTGACTCTTGAATGTTTAGGCATACTGTTCTTTTGATCCTGCACATTAAATATCTGGTGTGAAGGTATGTGGGTATTGGCCCATTAACACTTGGCAGCTTTGATAAGCTAAACAGGGTTCATTGTGGTCCATTGGAGGAAACTGAGTTTGAATTGACATCTATTTGGCATGTCTGTGCCTGTGTGGATGTCATTCAAAGTAGAGAGCTAAAAGGTTGCCATGCCCACTTGAAGTGAAGCAAGATTCCATGTGTGATGGTCGCATCAAAGTGCTGAGCAAAGCTGGTGCCCATCTTGTGCTCTGGAGAAAATTGTCAAAATAGAGAACTGACAAAAGTTGTTTATTGATTGTTGGCATGTGACAGTAAACTTTGTGCTATCAGCTGAACCTCTGACAGACTCCATGCAATCAGGGGTAGAGATCCAGAGGAAAGTGTCATTGGCCAAAGACTGGATGGCAGCATGGGCCCCACTATGGGATTTGTGATTTCGTGCTGAATGATGTGACTTGCAGGTGTATGCAAAGATCTGGACTCATGTTATCTAAGTGCCAGAAACAGTTAGCCAGCCAACCAGTTTGGTTGGTCAAGAGACTCAATATAGCTATTGAACAGTGCTTTTCCTGCCATGCACTCGGGTCATCTGATGAAATGTTAGCACAAACATGTGGAATGTGGAATGCTATGTGGAATAATGTGCAGAAAGTAAATACTTTGTGAATGCCTTTTACTGAGCTTTCCTATTTTGCCTCTCACAATTTGGTTGTTGCATATAATCCATGTCATGATGTCTGAAGAGCTGATTTTGACCATTTTAAAATGTATCATTTGTGCAGTCTAATGCTTGCCTGTGTAGTGTGTATCAGAAGGGTGGGTTTCACATCAAGCACTAAAAGAAATTTAGAGCTTGAGCCTGAACAACTGAAACATGTTTGTTATTGTTTTTGTGTTTGTTTGGTCTTACCAGGTAGAAGGAGTGTTGTCCTGTCACTTCCTGACTGTGATGGTATACATGATCATGAAGTTGCTAATTTCTTTTCTTTTGTGTAGCATTGTGGTTATCTGTTCTACATTATGAAGACTACCATGAGGATTTTCACCAACAATGTATCACAAGATGCTGTATCTATGCACAAACCTTAGCCCCCAGCTGCCATGAGCTTCTGATAATGGGCTCTGATTATGTTGCAGTCCACGATGCACTGAAGCACTTCCATATCCGACTGATGCGGAAGGCCCGGCGCCAGGTGAAGCCGGACCTCTGGGAGAAAGCACTCATCAGCTTCTGCAGGCCTGTGTCCAAGCAGGACGCCTGGGAGCTGGAGCGGTTTGGCTACAAGCAGGCAGATTTGGCAGTCAAACTGCGTGTGCTGAAGGTGGGTGCAGGGTGTGCCCAGGCTCCGCCGGAGCCCCTACCACCTGGCGGTCATGGTGGCATGCAGCCCCATGGGAGTGGTGCTCAACAGACAACTGCTGGGTCATTGGTGACTTGTCGATCTCTTGTGCACTGCTGGTCAGATCTACATGTGACATAGTCAAACTGCTAAATTTATAAAGTCCCCATTAGGGTTAAACTGAACTGGATATGCTCATAATGTGGGCTGCTGTGATGTTATGTCAATAGGTGTTCACTGAAGACTAATGCACACCAATTGTGTGAAACAATTGCTTAAGCAGTTGTGAACAAATCTGCACACTGGGCACTGCTGTGCTGTCCCTGCAGCTGTTTCCAAGTTTCTCAGGGGCTTCTGGTCTGATTTGCTTGATATGCTCACCACACACCACACATGCCTTCATCAGCTGTAGTTAAAGAGGTCACTGTGGACCAGACAGTAGTTGGCTGTTTATGGTGCATACATCCAATACATAGGTTAGTTAGTACCCACATAAGAATTGGTATGGTCATTCTGGTAAAGGTTATAAAAGTGCCAGGGAGTCAGAGCTATGTGCAGTATGTGAAATTTGGTTGTGTCTCATGGGGAGTGAGCACAACCATTTTAAAATAGCATCTTGTATGGAGAAGAACATACTATGAACAGGCTGGTCGCAGTGATTGACAAGACCATTGGAGATTGGCAGCTCGTGATTTCAAAAGTCTTTCCTTCTTAATTATAGGCTGATGTATGCTCTACTATTTAAAGCATGGAACAAATGGAAAGTTGTTTATAATGACAGTATTATTCGGGCAGGTGTGTGGGTTAATTAAAGAGAGTGTTGCTCATTTATATTGGGTTTGAACGGAATGGCCATCTTGAGGATATTTCAGTACACTTCACAATCTTGCTGTCTTAAGACCTCAGACCCTCCAATTTCTTAGGTGCAGGCCCACCAAAAAGGGGAGAGATATAGCGGCGAGAGTCACATTATATTTCAACGTCATCTTGGCATCCATGATGTCATAATAACTTTCAAAGCCTCCCATTCCATAAGCCATGTGACAATCAAGGCCAATAAAAATATATTTGTTAGGACATTCATATATGGTGCTCATGTGAGCACAGTTTTCAGATGTAACAGCTGTCAATTGGCTCTCAATCAATGTCGTGCTACATGTGATGATGTAATCAAACCATGGCACATTGAGAAGCATATTTGCTGAACAGGTAATCTTGCTGTCTAGAACAGTTTTCCACATAAAAAGTATACCCAATAGCTTGAGTCAGTTTGTATCATCATATCTGATGCTTGCTTCAATATCTTCAAATGTGAAACATTCCTGTTAAGACCGACTGATACCAGTGCTTAAAATGCTGTGCACCTGTGGCATGATTTCCTGGGACATTCGTAACAACTTATTGATAGAGATGTTATGCAAGCCACTGTAATATCGATAAAACATCTGGCACATAGTAGTTTGTGCAGCTACCTACCACCCAAGGCAGTGTCTTTCTCACCCAAGGACAGATGACAAAGGAACATGATACCCACCGAGGCATCCACGGACCTAGATATGTCGAATTTGGGACTGGGGGTGTAGTTACCGGCCCAGTTGGATAAAACTCTGTCCCCTTCTCCTCCCCCAACTCTGTGAAGAAAAAAATTGGTTAAATCCAGGGAAAAACATTGTTTTGCTATTTATTTGGGTTTAGTGATTTGCTCTGCCCACCCTCCCCAAGCTGACATGAAAAAGTTCACCATCTGAAATGGCCCGAAGGTCAGTGCAGTAGCAACGGAGGTCATTACTTCATCATGGAACAAGCCAGCCCTTCAAAGTTAGCATCCGCTAGTTCCACTCACCGACATTGAGCCAGATACGATGCTATCCTCAGTGTATGATGCTGGGCGGAATTGATATGTAGTCTTTACCTGTATTCTGTACAAATTCCACTGTCACTGTCCGACACTGCTCTCGCCTCGCACGGCTCTTCTAAACACACGTCGGAAGCCTAGCATACCGTAGAAAGGCGCGCACAGGGGAGCAGTCTTCAAATATAGAGCCGCTAGCAGTTATGTGTTGGATTGGCTATTACTTTTCTAGGCTCTTACTTTTCTACAAATGTTTAGAAATTATTTACGATATCCTGCAAAATAAAACTTTCAACCCACATGATATCAAGAGATTTCAAGAATTTCACATTGGCAATCAGCAGGCCGCTCAACTGAGACGAGAAACCCTTTGTTTACGTTATATTCACACCACAATTTGGTGGCGATGCCCTGTACATGGATGAAAAAAACTGCACACTTTTATCCATCGCCACTTTTTTGCGTTTTCATCTGGTATTCAGCTTATATTTCTGTGTGGAAAATATGCATTCTTTCCAATGTTAAATCCTCCCAAGAGCCGGAGACTTCGGAGCTGTTTATTCCGCGTGCCCAAGCGAGTGTTTAAGATGGTGTTTGATGTCGCTATTATGCCTTATATACAATTTCTGTATTTTTATAGGTTTAAATGGACACTGGATGCCGGTGGCGTTAGACAAGTGTTAGGCCTAATTGATACCGAATATATGATGAATTACGCTATACACACGCACACTCGCAGGCACGCACGCACTCACGCACGCACGCACGCACGCGCCGCGCGCACGTTTGATTAGAAATGTCCAAGCACATGTAAACTGTGATTCTTAAGGTGGCATTTCAGGTCCTTTTTATGATCCTCTTTGCGCTTGTTTACCACGCAACTCGATTTTACTGCAAGAAAAGTTATGCCGATTGCTTACCACAGCAGCCAGGTTTCACCAGCGAAACTATGATGCATACCCAAGTGTTCCATCCTTTGCTTCTGGAAGGCCTCTATCGCCCAAGGCCTTTAATATTACACTGTCGACCACGCCAACTCAATACTCTCCATTGCTACCGCGTGTCGCCCGACCCGCATTGCGTCATACCTGCACCGAAATCCGTTGAAACTGCCAGCAGCGGGGATAGTCAAAGCGTTGGTAGCCGAATGATGTAAGTGGGCTTGAAAGATTTGTGAGGGACTCCTTTCTTATGTATTGTTATGTTATCTCAAGATTTGTTTTGAATGTAGGGACATGAAAGTTAAAGGGCCATGAAACCAAATAACTTCGCCCTGTTTTTGACGTAAATAGAGAAGCAGGAAATAAAGGCAATTCTTTTTTATGGAAGTGGATAACTTTGTTTAAGTAATGTGCCTGTGGATAGAGCAAAACATCATTTGAAGATGCCTCCCTGGACCCAATTATGCCCAACGTTAGGTCCCACTGGTGACCCGCGTCGACCCAGCACTACATGTCGCAACACCTCGTTCTGCGGAGAACATCATCGAGTCGTTAAGAACAAGTTCGTTAAGCACTGAAATATTATTCGAATGCACAGTTATTGGCAAATTCTGTGGCTAAATGCACCATTGTCGACCACACTACGAATCACATTGTGGGCCACGAGCGATCGAGACCTGCCTATTTGCTGGACCTAGCCGTCAGCAGCGCATCGATCGACTGTTGATAGACGTTGCTATGTCAACAACGATGACTTGTTAACAAGCGCACTTACTTCGGCTCTGCCGAGTAGGGTGTAGGGTCTAGGCCGTAACGGTAGGTAAAGAAAGTGGGCTTGCTCTGAGGTACAGACTTGGCTTCCATTTTCCAGTGAAGAGAATAGAGAAGTGTCAACATCCGCAGCAGAAGATGCTGTACCGTGCGCGTGACTTGCCGCTGTACCGTGCGCAGATACAGCCGTCATCAGACCGTAGCGCCAAAATGGCTATGGGGGGGGGGGGGGGGTCACCCAGCGACTAACGGCTAAGGATGCGTCCAGCGGACTAGCTGGCGTATTTCGGAATGTTATGCGGATTTTCGTGGCATTGTGTCACTCCGCCGGGGTCATGTTAGCCATCCCGACTTAGGCGTAGGACACCCATATTTGGGGGCGAGAGCAGGGATAGATCTGTGATTTCACAAAAAGTAGCAGCGGTAAACGTAATGAGTGGTTGGCTAATCTTTGCTAAGAAACTGCTAAGTATTATACTTCAACGCCGTGGTTTATGTCGCATTTGGGTCACTTTAGGTCCCTCGGAAAATGTTTTAGTTTGTGTTCATTAAAAACTAGCAAATTTCGCATATTTTCGCTGATGGTGGAAGGGCAGGCTGTATGAACCTCCCTCCCTTGCGTCCTCTCGGGAGGGTAACATTGAATTTTTCGGCGGCAAGTCTTAAATATTTACCCAGCATGAAAGACGTATCCTTGAATTTGTCAAGTATACGCCCCTGTATGAACGAGGGAGAGGGGGGGGGGGGGGGGTAGAGGTGTGTATGGTGGGAGACCAGCACGCCCAATACGTACACCCCTTTTCCTGTTTATTGAGGCTAGGATGGCAACCGCAAATTGACTGTCACACTTGGCGTGCCCTAAATCCCCCCCCCCCCCCCCCCCTCCTCTCTAGGATGACAACTGAATAGCTTTCAGCTACAAGGTGTATGTGATGGTATGCATTGGACCAGATTCTTGGAATACTGAGTTTGAAAGTGGTTGTTGGGTGAAGATGAAAATTTTATTTTTTAGTCGAGTCGTCTTTGTTGCCATTCACAAAACCCATACATACTACACAGGTATGTCAGTATCAGGTATTATTTGTAGAGCAGGCTTCTCTGGTGCTGTAACTTACAAAATGCAAGTTTCCAGTGTTTTTAAAGGTAAATATATGCCCTGTTGTGAATGAAGTAAGCACACTGTTTTATACCTAGACTGTAGTATAAGTCAGCAGCAATCACTTCTATAATTAGACCTGCAGATCCCTATTCATATGCAGAAGTTAGGAGCCACTACTTTTTATCCAGATCTGCAAGTCCCCATTCATGTCTAGACATGTTGGGCAAACATGGTGTCAAAAGGCGGTGGGCCGTAATGTGATTTGTGTCGCCTATCCAAACTCACAAAGGAACATGATTGTAATTGGTATGGAAGAAGGCATTCACCTGGTAAAAGGTCCTGATGAATCGGGAAAGATAACAACTCAAAAAGAAATGAGGACGTGGAGAAGCCCCTCCCCTCCTTTCGCTAACGCCGAGGATGGGCATTAGTTTAGGAACATGTCATAATCATAAGCGGAGGGGGGGGGGGGCTGACAATTTCGAAGTTCGAACCATTTTATGTAGCGTTAGACTTCCTTAATTTAGCGTTAGACTTACGGCGGTGCACGGAAAGAAACGACGCAGCGCCTCTGAGCCACCCTCCTACAAGCCTGGTCAACTTCCCCTGCTCCTGGCATTACAGCTACTCATACCCTTCTGGAGCTGAGGGCAAGGCGAGAGGTCTGCTAGTAAAAATGATTTACCGCCAAGCTCTTGTAAGGCCTTACACATTTCTTAATATTTTAATGACTTGTGCTTCACAAATTCCAGGGTCCCGATGGCCTGGGCTAATGTCTAGGAGGGGGTTAGGGGGCAGCCGCGCCCTATTTCAGACAATATGTAACATTAACTGTACGGTGATGTACGGAAAGAGACCAGCTGAACTCGGCGCTGCCCCTGCCCTTCTCCGCCGCCGGTCTGTGATCACTGACAGCACCAACAAGCCCGATTATTTCAAAGATGACAAGTGGCAACCAACTGCAGCTAGACGTTAACATCATTGCATGTGCACGTGCACCCTCTGCTATCGCAGATTCAGAAGCGTTTACATGCCTGTGTACTTTAGGAGCTTTGATGCGGTGCTGACATATATTGTCTGACCAAAAAGGGCGGCATCCTCAATTTAAAGTCTACAGCACAGCACGGTATCTAAATTCTCTGTTCCACTGCCCTCCGTGGTAAAATTGGTCTCGTAGCCAATCTAGCCCCTCTCTACCCATCCCTCACCTCTTTCCCGTCCCCGTCCCCCCCCCCCCCCCCGCCCAAAGGTGGATCACGGAGTTCGGTTCCCTGCGGGGTCCAGGCTTCCTTCCAGGGTGAGACAGGCGATGCCATTATGCCACTTTCATTATAAAGCCCGGGCAGCAGACCGTTTGTCATTACGTCTTCATGCCAAAGGTATTCAGAACAGGGACGAATAAGCGCTCAGAGGATGAGCCCTCAGATAACCAGTACGGTGCGTCAATACTGCTGCCAAATTTAAACGTCTGTTACTTGAGTTGGCCACTTATCTGTACTCTTCTTCCTATTCTGCGGGTGCAGGAGGCATATCGAATTTCATTGAGTGGTTGGCCGTGGGTACCGTGCTTGCCGCCGCACGTACCGATGCTGAACCTGTGCCATTGCAGAACCTGTGTGAGGTGCAGTTCGACCGCAACAAGCGGTTCAAGGACGAGGTTAACAAGGAGGCGGCGTGCGAGCTGCGCCTGCAGCCGCTGGGGCGTGACCGGCATGGCAACAACTACTGGTACCAGCTGGACGAGGACTGCCAGCTGCGCATCTACAAGGAGGACATCGACGACGAGACGTGGCAGGTGGTGGCCGAGTGAGTCCAGACCCGGGGGTCGAGTCGGCAGCCAGCGCCCGAATCATATGCAGGGGACAGGTGTGACTCCTGGTGGTACTGTGTTGTGCCTGGGTGTTGGGTCACGTTTTCAAAGGGTCATAGATCGTTGCCTGCCCGGGTGCTCGGGATTCGTGCAGGGAGCCGGGCTGTTATGGCGGTGGTCTTTGGTTGAAGAGACCTGGCCTCGATCCTAGTGACAGGAAGCCTGCAGCAGCCCTCGTTTCCTCCAGTGCGTGACGATGTTGGTGTCCCAGGTTAGGCACATGTGTCGGCACATGACCCGGCCAGGGTTACGAAGTGCACACTGAACTGTTGAGCGCAGTGAGTGAGGGCGTCTGACCGCCTGTCGGCAGGGACCGCGAGAGCATGAAGGCGCTGATACAGAGCCTGCAGTCGGACTCGCCGCTGGGCAAGTCGGAGGATACTTCGCAGGCCAACAGCGAGGAGGAGCTGCTGCAGGGTCCGCCGGCGTTCAAACGGGAGCCGCCGGACCGGCCGGCCGACCTGGTCCGGCCCACTGCTGGCACAGATGACCAGGCCCGGCCGGCCGGCGCTGACGCGTCCCCTGCGGCCGGCGGCGACGGCGGGCCGGTGACGGCAGGTACCGAACAGGCGGCGCTCAGTCACAGGGAAGAGACAGCGGCCGATGGTGAGGCTGAGCAAGCAGCCAGTAGTGAGGCCAGCAAACGGACGAAGGCTGAGACGGTGGACGATGTTAAAGAGGAGCCTCGGGTTGGAAGTGTGGAAGAGGCGGTGTGTGCAACCGAGGGAAGCCCGCCAGCTGGAGGCAAGATCCGCCGATCATCCAGTGACGGAAAGCTAGGGGCTGGGGCTGAGGCAGAGACGACGGCGGCTGAGGAGGGGCTGGTTACCAGTGGTAAGTCTGAGTCGGTGACCGATGGCAAGGTCGAGCCAGAGGCCGCAGGCGAGTCTGAACCAGAAGCTGATGAAGACCCAAAGGCCCGCGGAAGACGGATAGCGGCCGACGATGAGAGGAGGCCAGTGGTCGGTGACGAGAAGCCATCGGCCGCTGGTGATACAAAACAGGAGGTTGCTGGCGAGGCGGAGAGATCGTCTTCGCCGACTGCCGCTGCCGATGTAAAGTCGGTGGATGCGACAAGCCACTGCCAGCCCCCTGAGTCCGGGGAGCTGGTACATGGCGGGGGCGACATGGGAACTGAAAGCGTGTCGGTGTCATCAAAAGGCGTGGTGCCGCTGGACGCGCGCGCCGCGCCAACTGCGAGCGACCGTATGTCGGGCGGGGCGCGGGGTTCGCCGGAAAAGCCGGCGGCCGCGTCCGGGGAGCCCAGCAGTGAGCAGGTCCCGGCCACAGACGCGCCTGCCGCTGGTGTGAGTGTTGCGACAGCTGCCGAGTGCGGCGTGAAGGCTTCGGTCAGTGTGCTGCCGCCGTCCGTCTCGGCCACGGAGGAAGGTGAGCACCACTCAGAACTGGTGCATAGTCCTGCGACGGGCGCTGGGGACCGGCCGGCGACCCCGTCTTCACATCTACCCAGGAGCACGGGCGAGCCGCCAACTGAGCCTGTCGCCGCCGGCCGGCCGGGCCGGGCCGGGCTGGGCGAGCAGGCCGGCTGTGACGCAGCAGAGCTGGCGGTGACAGCCGCTGACGGCCACGTCAAGACCGAACAGACGATGTCAGCGCCGCCGGTGGTGGCCGAGCCCGAGTCGTCCCACTCTGAGGAGACGGGAGTGCTCCCTGAACCCATCACAGAAACTGTGGTGAAACCCGAGCCAGCTGTGAAGGCCGTACCTGAGGCTGTTCCAGTTGTGGATTCCATGGTGAAAGCCGAGCCAGCTGTGGAGGTCGCGGTGGGCCCTGAGGCTGCATTGAAGGTCGTGACGGACCCTGAGCCAGCTGTGGAGGCCGTTATTAACCTTGGGTCAGCTGTGGAGGCTGTGGCGGACACTGAGCCCGCTACGGAGGCCCTGGCGGACACTGAGCCTGCTGTGGAGGCCGTGGCGGACACGGAGCCGGCTGTGGAGGCTGTGGCGGACACTGAGCCTGCTGTGGAGGCCGCGGCGGACACTGGGCCAGCTGTGGAGGCTGCGTCGGACACTGAGTCAGCTGCGGAGACCGTGGCGGACACTGAGCCTGCTGTGGAGGCCGTGGCGGACACTGAGCCTGGTGTGGAGGCCACGGCGGACACTGAGCCTGCTGTGGAGCCCGTGGCGAGCACTGGGCCTACTGTGGAGGCCCTTGCGAGCGCTGAGCCTGCTGTGGAGGCCGTGGCGGACCCTGAGCCTGCTGTGAAGGCCGTTGTTAACCCTGAGCGAGATATGGAGCCGGTGGCAGACACTGAGCTAGCTGTGGAGGCCGCGGCGGACATTGAGCCTGCTGTGGAGGCTGTGGCAGACACTGAGCTTGCTGTGGAGGCCGGGGCAGACACTGGGTCTACTGTGGAGGCCGTGACGAGCACTGGGCCTGTCGTGGAGGCCGTGGCAAGCAGTGAGGCTGCTGTGGAGGCCTTGGCGAGCTCTGAGCCTGCTGTGGAGGCCGTGGCCAACATTGAGCCAGCTGTGGAGGCCTTGGCGCACACTGAGCTTGCTGTGGAAACCGTGACAGACAATGAGCCTCCTGTGGAGGCCGTGGCGGACACCGAGGTAGCCTTGGAGGTCTTGGCGAACAATGAGCCTCCTGTGGAGGCCATGGCGGACACTAAGCCTACTGTGGAGGCCGTGGCGAGCACTGAGCCAGCTGTGGAGGCCATGGTGGACACTGAGGAGGCCTTGGTGGACACTGAGAAGGTTGTGGCGGACGCTGAGCCAGCTGTGGAGGCCGTGGTGGACACTAAGCCAGCTGTGGAGGCCGTGGTGGGCACCGAGCCAGCCGTGGAGGCTGTGGTGGACACTGAGCCAGCTGTGGAGGCTGTGGCGAACCCTAGTGAGATCCACTCGCAGGTTGCTTTGGCACCAACGGAAGACGTCGCCAGTGCAGAGCCTGGACTGCTGGAGGAGAGGCCAGGCAGCTCTCAGCCCATCACATCAGCTGTTCGCACGGGTGGCGCCGACTCCACCCAATCGGAGGAGCCTTCAGCGGCAGATGCACGCGTGGGCCGTGGTACCGACCGGACCGGAGCGAACTCTGACACCGCTTGCTCTCCGTCAGAGATGGAGGGGGCGCCCGACTCTTCGGAGCCGCCGCCGCCGCCGTCGTCTAATGGACGTTCGGTCAGCTCTGCCGATGCTCCGCCGGCGACTTCGGAGCGCCCCGACTTTGTGGCGGAGCATTCCGGAGAACGCTCTGAGTGCGTCACCACGTCGGAGGCGCCGGAACGTGGCCGCGACATCAGCAGGTGCGAAGCCAGCGGTGTCTCGAGCCCGCCTCCTGAAGACGCCGAGGCGAGAGCGAGCTCCGGGAAGCGGGCGGAACCGTGCGCGCTGGAGTCGCGGCATCAGCCCGTTCCCGGGGAGGCGTCACCTCCAAGCCAACAGCGGGGCGGTGGAGGGGTCGGTACGGCCGCAGTAGGAAGCACGAGCTGTTGTGACGGGGACGCGGCGGAATCTGTGGCAAACGCGCCAGACGGCTCCAGTGAGGCGGTGAGCTCGGCAGGTGGCCCCGGACCGGGCCGCTGTTCGGAGGAGGCGCGCGGCCAGTCGAGCCCGCAGCCTGGAGTGGCGGACACGAGTACGGTCGACGCGCGACCAGAGGGTGCTGACGTGGCTGCCGCCGCGGCCACGGTCGACGTGCGGGCGTCGAAAGCCGCCGTTGACGTCGCGGGCAGCCCCCAGTCTTCGGCCGTTGGTGAGCGACAGCCGGACGGGACCGGGGGCGGGCGACGGCTGGCAGCGGACGTCGATGACGGCGTCTCGAGCAGCGCCGCCGGTCCGCCAGCAGCTCCGCGGCCGGTTGCCGCCGCTGATGGCACTGCGCCCGTATTGGAGGGCGAGTCTGGCGCAGGCGCGACTAGCGGCGGCTCGGCGGAAGTGGTTGCGTCAGGTGCGGACTGCGGCGGCGCTGTGGAGGAGCCGGCCCTGGTGGTGTCGGGTTCCGGGTCCGGGGCGGACTGTGAGGGCGGTGTGCCGCCGGGCTGGGTCAGCGAGGCCGTGGAGGAGCCGGCCCTGTTGTTGTCAGGCTCCGGCTCCGGGGCGGACTGTGAGGGCGGTGTGCCGCCGGGCTGGGTCAGCGAAGCCGTGGAGGAGCCGGCCCTGTTGGTGTCAGGCTCCGGCTCCGGGGCGGACTGCGAGGGCGGTGTGCCGCCGGGCTGGGTCAGCGAGGCCGTGGAGGAGCCGGCCCTGGTGGTGGCTGGCAGCGGCTGGGGTGCGCTCTGTGGTGTCGGCAACGGTGTTCAGCGTCGCCGGGCCAGCCGCAGTGCCGCGGGCAACAATGGCCATGCCGAGCCGCCGTCGGCTGACCGACGCGACAACGGCGAGGCGGACCAGCCCCAGGCCGAGCCAGAGGCCGAGCCTGAGGCCGACCCAGAGGCCGACCCAGACCCGGAGCCGCCGGCCGGCAAGAAGCGCGGTCGCAAGAGGAAGAGCGAACTCGAGAGTCTGGTCTCAGCTGACGCCGACGCCGACGGTGAGTGGCGGTGGTGTGCTGGCCGCCTCTTGTGGCGGTTCATCCCGTAACTATCGATAGTTCGATTGGCGTAGCTCTCAGGGAATCTACTTAATGCTTTGGTTGTACCGTCCAATGTGTGTGGGTGATTTACAAGATAGGTCATCTGAGAACGCTGCGTATGTTGCTTCTAAGTCTAAATAGTCGATGGCTTTGAAAGCTAAAGGCCACATTCCAGAGCTGCCGCCTGATTTGTGGCACAGGGTGGTCAGTTGCAGACTGCATTGTAGCTTTCGATTTGCGGCTTTCGCAGCTTGTCTGGAGTGATACCAGTCAGTGTTGTCTGGTGTGGTAGCCGTCAGTGTTGTCTGGTGTGGTACCCGTCAGTATTGTCTGGCGTGGTACCCATCCGTGCTGTCTGGTGTGGTACTCGTCAGTGTTATGTGGTGTGGTACCCATCCGTGTTGTCTGGTGTGGTACCCGTTCATGTTGTCTGATGTGTCCGTCAGTGTTGTCTGGTGTGGTACCCGTCCGTGTTGTCTGGTGTGGTACCCGTCAATGTTGTCTAGTGTAGTACCCGTCAGTGTGTCTGGTGTAGTACCCATCAGTGTCTGGTGCGGTACCCGTCAGTGTTGTCTGGTATGGTACCCGTCAGTGTAATCCGGTGTGCCGGACGGTAACTGACCTCTGGTCTCGTGCCTCTGGCAGAGGGTGGTGCCGGCCGGCGCCGCTCGTCCCGCGTAGCCAAGCTACGCGAGAAGGAGGAGGAGCAGCGCCGTGTGGACGAGGAGCAGCGGCTGCGCGTGCTCAAGGAGCAGGCCGTGCTGCGCAAGCTGCGCCAGCACGAGCGTGAGACCCGCCGCGCTCAGCGCAAGGACAAGAAGAAAAAACGACGGCAAAAGAAGGTCGAGCGTGGCCAGGAGCAGGAGCAGCCGACGGAGAAGGCAGGCAAGAAGAAGCGCAAGAAAAAGAAGAAAAAGAGGACGGGAAACGATCCATGGCTGTCCTCATCAGACACCAGGTAAGCACACTGTAGGCTTGTTTATGGCACACACTCGGTGCCTGTCGATATTATTCGTAACTGCATGACCCTGTGCTGTATATAGGTGATGCTCGTCTGCTAGGCTGTCTGCAGTATATTATACTGAATGCGGTATCTTGGAAGTGGAGATGATGATGTACGAAAGCCTTTGCCGTCTTTCGAGGCAAAGAATCTGCCGCTCCAGTTGATACAGCTGATAAGTTCTGGCAACCGGACGCGTCGTAAGAGCTTTGGCCCATTGAGTTATAGTGGGTTGCGTTTGTATTCGGACCTCTCCGTAATGCCTCCAGTGGCGCAGGGCAGCGTTAATTGTGGCTTGGAAGCGGCGTGCGCCCTTGAGCTACCTCTTGATACTGAAGTCAGTCCCGCGCCGACAGCTCCAGCTCCGACGAGGACGAGGAGATGGAGCTGTTCGCGCACCACGAGGCCGGCGACGAGGACCCGTTCCGCTCCGACCATGAGTTCTCGCCAGAGTCCGAAAACGACCAGGAATGGGTGCCCGTTCAGCACGCGCGCACCGCCCGCTCGGCGCGTAAACAGGCGCGCACCGCCGGTGAGTTCTGCCACGCCTCGGCCGCCCCGGCTTGCCGGTCAGCTGAGCGGCGCGTTGCGTCAGGCGGCGGCCGCCGGCCCGCGTGTCCAGCACGCCTCCACTGTCCTCGACCGGCTGGTTGCGATGCTGGAGACGACTGTCTGGTGTCGCCCTGCAGAGGCTGAGGACGCTGCCGCCGAGGTGTCGGACGAGGACGAGGACGAGCCTGAGGACGAGCCGGACCAGGAGGATCAGTGTCGCAAGTGCGGCCACGGCGACCACCCTGAGTACATTCTGCTCTGCGACGGCTGCAACGGCGGCTGGCACACCAACTGCGTGCGCCCGCCGCTGCTCAGCATACCGGAGGGCAGCTGGTACTGTCCTCCCTGCGAGCACGTGAGTCGGTGCGCTCAGACACCGTCGCCGGGCGGGAGGTCTCAGGTGCCGGGAGCCGCTTACAACTCAGCCTGCTACATGCGTAAATAGGCTGTTCTTGATAAGCTGTCGTTAACCGTTTAACCGCACGAACAGAGCAAGGAGCATTCCGAAACGTGTATCGACCAGAAGGCGTGTTCTTGATGGTTTTGGCTTGGCAGCGTTAAAAACTCGCCTTGTCTGTCCGGAACGTCTTTATGAGTGAGTGCTGTCCAAGTTCTGGCTCCTCGGTCGCCTCCGTAGCCACATTTTGTTGGCTGCTAATCCGTTGCCCTTTGAAAAGTGAGGTTCCAACCTATCCACCTGATTTGCCAAGCCCGGGGCGTCTGTGTTCTGGACTGACCGCCGCCCAGCTCAGTGCTGATTGGTCGATCCCGAGCGAGGCCAGCAGCGGCAGGTAATAGTGTTCTGGATTGACCGCCGCTCAGCTCAGTGCTGATTGGTCGATCCCGAGCGAGGCCAGCAGTGGCAGGTAATAGTGTTCTGGATTGACCGCCGCTCAGCTCAGTGCTGATTGGTCGATCCCGAGCGAGACCAGCAGCGGCAGGTAACATGCATTGACGGTGAACCCTTATCCGGGGGTGCGAAAGCATTGGAGTTGTCGACATCCTTGCCACCGCGGTGGCCGAATGTTGTCATGCCGTGCCTGGTGGTTTGTTGACTAGTCCGAAAGGGCTGGTGTACCATGTGTGTCAGGTGTACGCAATGCAGTATCCTGGCCGGAAATTTGTAGATTAGGATAGAGAGCACTCAGCTGGATGCGTGAGGACGCATAAAATTTGGCCCACTGGAAGACGATTCCCAGTCAAATGCATCAAACGCTACGGCGTTCTCTTCTGATTCGCGCCGTCGCTTTCTGTTTGCTACTAGTGTTCGCTTTATGCTGTAATAATTTGGCAAAGCTTGTATACAGCATATGCCCTATGGTATGCGACAGCCCGCTAATTGTACTTTTTTATAGCGGCGTCATTTGCTCCGGATGTGTCTGCTTTGAAAAGCTGCTTTGTAATTTATGGCAGCCTTCCACTTTCAGGAAAACGGGATTTACCAATTTTTTTCGGTGGTCCTAGTGCTTTTGACACAGCTGAACAGTATGTGTGTGCTTCTGGGATTTGACGATGGTGCGACGCCGCTGGTCGTCGTCGTTTCACGCGCGCGGGAATGACTTGCACTGCCGACGTGCCCGTGTTATGTTCAGTCAGCTGACAGTGCCGACGTGCCCGTGTTATGTTCAGTCGGCTGACAGTGCTGACGTGCCCGTGTTATGTTCAGTCGGCTGACAGTGCCGACGTGCCCGTGTTATGCTCAGTCGGCTGACAGTGCCGACGTGCCCGTGTTATGTTCAGTCGGCTGACAGTGCCGACGTGCCCGTGTTATGTTCAGTCGGCTGACAGTGCCGACGTGCCCGTGTTATGTTCAGTCGGCTGACAGTGCCGACGTGCCCGTGTTATGTTCAGTCGGCTGACAGTGCCGACGTGCCCGTGTTATGTTCAGTCGGCTGACAGTGCCGACGTGCCCGTGTTATGTTCAGTCGGCTGACAGTGCCGACGTGCCCGTGTTATGTTCAGTCGGCTGACAGTGCCGACGTGCCCGTGTTATGTTCAGTCGGCTGACAGTGCCGACGTGCCCGTGTTATGTTCAGTCGGCTGACAGTGCTGACGTGCCCGTGTTATGTTCAGTCGGCTGACAGTGCCGACGTGCCCGTGTTATGTTAGTCGGCTGACAGTGCCGACGTGCCCGTGTTATGTTCAGTCGGTTGACAGTGCTGACGTGCCCGTGTTATGTTCAGTCGGCTGACAGTGCTGACGTGCCCGTGTTATGTTCAGTCGGCTGACAGTGCCGACGTGCCCGCGTTATGTTTAGTCGGCTGACAGTGCCGACGTGCCCGTGTTATGTTCAGTCGGCTGACAGTGCCGACGTGCCCGTGTTATGTTCAGTCGGCTGACAGTGCCGACGTGCCCGTGTTATGTTCAGTCGGCTGACAGTGCCGACGTGCCCGTGTTATGTTCAGTCGGCTGACAGTGCCGACGTGCCCGTGTTATGTTCAGTCGGCTGACAGTGCCGACGTGCCCGTGTTATGTTCAGTCGGCTGGCAGTGCTGACGTGCCCGTGCTGTCGGCAGGGTCGGCTGGTCAGCGCTCTGGTGCAGCGGTTGGAGGAGTTTGACGTGGCCTTGAAGCAGCGCGACAACGACCTGCTGCGCAAGCAGCGGCTCGATTACGTCAACATCAGTATGGGGAACGTGCTGCCCAGCCGGCCCCGGCCACCCAAACGCTCCAAAGCTGTGAGTGGCCGGCAGCTTGCTGCTATCACGACTTGCTATCTCTCCCTTTCTGCACGAATGCGGATCTGGTATGAATACGGACACACAAAATGAGAAGTGCGTCATCGGATCACCGATTGAGCGTTATTTTATATGATGTACCCGGTGTTGAATTGCTTTGGGGAGCAGTCTGGTTGGGTGGGGTGTTCGCCACATGCAGACGTCACCTGTCGTTGCCGTCGGCTCGCTTCCTCCAGTATGTATTGCGGTGCACGTGCGCCGTATTCGTCGGCGGCCAATCGTTAACGCATAGAGTGAGGGCCTAAGCGTGTCTTAAAGTGGCTGTCACCAGCGGCGGTCACGTCCACGTGGCGGCCCCTGCATTGTGCGCCTGTCGCTCTTGGCTCGTCGCCGTTACCGTAGTGCCCAGTGCGTGGCAATGGTGAGAGCTGCCGCCGCGTTCGCCAGGAGGACGAGGGCTCGGACGCGTCTGTGGGCGGCGACGGCAGCAGCTCCGACGACGAGTCGACCGACGAGGAGTCGGACGAGTCTGACGAGGCCAGCGAAGACTCGGACGATTCGGACGAGCCCATCTACACGTTGCGGGCGCGCCGGCCCGCCGCGGAGATCAGTCAGAAGGTCAAACAGTTCGACGAGATGATCGACGATGCCATACGGGTGAGTGTGACCGGGGTCAGGTGGTGGCGCCGTACAGCTGAGTGTGACCAGGGTCAGGTGGTGACGCCGTACAGGTGAGTGTGATCGGGGTCAGGTGGTGGCACCATACAGGTGAGTGTGACCGGGGTCAGGTGGTGACGCCGTACAGGTGAGTGTGATCGGGGTCAGGTGGTGACGCCGTACAGGTGAGTGTGACCAGGGTCAGGTGGTGACGCCGTACAGGTGAGTGTGATCGGGGTCAGGTGGTGACGCCGTACAGGTGAGTGTGACCAGGGTCAGGTGGTGGCACAATACAGGTGAGTGTGACCAGGGTCAGGTGGTGGCACCATACAGGTGAATGTGACCGGGGTCAGATGGTGGCACCACACAGGTGAGTGTGACCAGGGTTAGGTGGTGGCGCCATACAGGTGAGTGTGACCAGGGTCAGATGGTGGCACCATACAGGTGAATGTGACCAGGGTCAGGTGGTGGCACCATACAGGTGAGTGTGACCAGGGTCGGGTGGTGACGCCGTACAGGTGAGTGTGACCAGGGTCAGGTGGTGGCACCATACAGGTGAGTGTGACCGGGGTCAGGTGGTGGCACCGTACAGGTGAGTGTGACCAGGGTCAGGTGGTGACGCCGTACAGGTGAGTGTGACCAGGGTCAGGTGGTGGCACCATACAGGTGAGTGTGACCAGGGTCAGGTGGTGGCACCGTACAGGTGAGTGTGACCAGGGTCAGGTGGTGACGCCGTACAGGTGAGTGTGACCGGGGTCAGGTGGTGAAGCTGCGCAGCAATGTTGGAAAACTTGACGTTTCCTGGTATAATGTACACCAGGAGGTTTTGTACCCCAGGGTTGTGACAAGGTAAAATGGAATATTCTGTACTCCGATATGATGCAACAAGAACAACTTTTGGAAAACTCATTTTACCTCTTTTGTGTCAGGACAAAATATAACCAGAAGGTGCAACAGCTTGAGACTTGCTGCTTCCATCAGGAGCCACGTATTGATATCTGGAAGAGCACAAATCTTGCACCCACCAGACTAAGATGCCCATTAGCAGGCAGCCTGTGTTGCCACCTAGGTTTATGATAAACCATGTATGGAAATGTGAAAAATAAAGCGTGTGAATGTTGAGTGGAATCGCCTTTGAACAATACCGGGAAATGGGAAACGAGTACCAGAATCGCACCGGTCTGTAGATTAGCAAAGCTCGTACTTCCTATGCCCGATGCAGACCAACCCAAATTTGAACATGGCTTAACCTACCGTTGACGACGAACCGCATTAATTGCCAGGGATGCAACGAACATTCATAGAACATCGCATGCCCAACCACCTACCGCAGACGGCCGCCTACCCACGCGCCACCACTGTGTCATGGCAATGCGAACAAGAGAATCACTCGCAATTCAGCGTCGAAAACGCCTCAACTATTCAGCGGCATGCGCCCGCCTCCCAGCCCAGGTTGGAGGTTGAACATAGCAAAACTCTTCAATCGGTTTTAATGATTCGCCTCTTCGTGGCTGATTTGTCAAGAGCATAAATATTCTGCTCGTGCTCATGCCTTGAACAGATTTGTAAACATTTGGAGGGAAGCTGTATAGAGATGGGCATCACGATTGTGACGGACTTTTTTGTACTCATCCAGAACCGCCATGTGGTTGGATTTTTGGCCACTTCCTGGTATACGGAGTACACAAGTGTTACGGCAGCTGTGGATTTAAACCAAGTTAAATTTGTCACTTAAGAGTGTAAAATTCAAGCTGATAATTCAGGTTTTACAAAAATGCCCTTTTAAGTCGAAAAATGTTGCTATAAGTAGCCAAAAAACTTCGGAGACAGCCATCTCACTCCGGCAAAAACATCAGGACGCCAGTGTAACATGAACCCATAACTTTGGTCCGACAAATTAAGGAGAAGGGCTTATGAGGACAAAAACATCAATTAATTGCAACATAAATTATCATATTTCGCAATGATATCGGTTAAAGCGCATCAAAATCCATTAATACGTTCCATTATGTGCCGGAGTCGGCGGAGTGACTGTTTGGCCGGCCTGCACGGGTCTGTCAGTCATTGTACTTGCGCTGGCTCGGTTAATCGGTTAAGAGTGCTGCCTTTCTCTTTTGTTTGGGCGGGACGTGCACGGGCTCGTGTGTTGATCGGGAGTGGGAATGTGGAGGGCATGGATGTTTAGCTGTTTTTAAAACCAGTTAGCTGGTGGAGCGTGAGTAGCGTGACCGTGGTGGAGCGTGAGTAGCGTGATCGTGGTGGACCATGAGTGGCATGTTCATTTGCATCTGCGTCTGCGGCATGTTCATGTGCATTTTTTGTGTGCCGTTTTTGTCTGGCTGTGCGTATCGTACCCACCCTCCATTTTGGAGAGTGTATAAGCCCGGTGTGTAGCCACCCTCCATTTTGGAGGGTATAAGCCCGGTGCGTAATTGCCCTCCGTTTGGGAGGGTGTATACACAGAGTCTTTCATAAATTGCAAACCATTGTATATGTACATGTGTTTCATAGCACAGAGTATGAGACTGTTGTTTCAGTGTGCCATGTTTAATACGGATGTTTTCTTTCATTTAAATTGCTTTGACATGAATTGCTGTGTATGAAAAGTGGCGCTTTTGTTCAGTGCCACCTATTGTGCTATTATCTCTCAAAGATAACCTAAATAAAGCTGCGATGACCCACAGCACTTGGATAATTTTGTACTCCACTATAGAAAGTTTGTACCCCGCTACCAGGATTTTTTTTTTTTGAATTTCCAACACTGCCGCACAGGTTGTTCGGAGGTGCCGTGCAGGGAGCGGTGTGCCGCCTGACGGGCCGCTTTGCACCGGCGGTGACTGATCGTGTGTGGTGACTGCCGGCAGGACGAGCTGGAATACGTGCGTGGCGCGGGTAACGCCGGCCGCGGCAAGTCCATGGAGAACATCGCGGAGGCCGAGGCCGTCCCTGAGGCCGAAGTGGCGGCCACCGAACCTGCCGCCGCCACTGACGCTCCCGACAACGGAGCCGACGACACGGCCGCCTCTGCTGCCCCCGCGGCCGCCGCCGCCTCCGACGCCGCTGCCCCTGCCTCCTCTGCCGCCGCCGCCTCCGCCACCGCCGCCGCCGACGCTCACTCCGATGAGTCGGACGATGAAGTGGTGGCGCCGCCGCCGCCCAAGAAACGCAAGCGGCGCATTAACGACCTGGACGACGACGGCGATGACGACGACGAGGCTGATGCCAGCTTCAAGGCGACGAGCGAGGACGAGCTGGAGGACGACGACGAGTTCAACCCGGACGAGCTGTCGGCCGAGAGTGAGCTGGAGACGCGGCGCGGCCGGCGGCGGCCGGCGCGGCAGCCCACGCGCCGCTCTGCCCGTCCCAGGTGAGCGAGCGACGCCCGTACCCTCCCCAGACGGCGCCGGGCCGGCTCCACCTTCGCTCTCAGGCAGCAGGGTGGCGGCGTCGGTCGGCCGCCCATGGTGAGCGAGCGGCGCCCGTACCCTCCCCAGACGGCGCCGGGCCGGCTCCACCTGCGCTCTCAGGCAGCAGGGCGGCGGCGTCGGTCGGCCGCCCATGGTGAGCGAGCGGCGCCCGTACCCTCCCCAGACGGCGCCGGGCCGGCTCCACCTGCGCTCTCAGGCAGCAGGGCGGCGGCGTCGGTCGGCCGCCCATGGTGAGCGAGCGGCGCCCGTACCCTCCCCAGACGGCGCCGGGCCGGCTCCGCCTGCGCTCGCCGGCAGCAGGATGGCAGCGCCGGTCGGCCGCCCATGGGCCGCCGCCAAGGGCGTTCTCATCGACGGGAGCGCTCCCCCTGCACTGCACTGTCTGCTGTTGGTGGCTGCAGCGCACCGTTCCCAGCCAATTGTTTGGCCGGGGTGAGGGCCGCGTAGCTAATGGTGAGATCACGGGCAGCCGGGCGCGTCACTGGCAGGTGTGTGTCTGTGCCGGAGGCGTCTCTGGGCGCCGTGTGACCTGAAACCGGTGACGCCAGGGGCCGCCAGCGGTACGTCTCGGACGAGAGCAGCGACGAAGAGTGGGGCGCGCCACGCGGCAGGAAGCGGCCGCGGCCCATGCGCGACTTTGTCGTCTCCGGCGAGGACTCGGACGAGTCGGACGGCACCTGGGGACGCAAGAAGAAGAGGTAGGCCGCGCGCCAGGTGCTCGGTCGGTCTCCGGCCGTCAGTGTCCAGTGTGCCCCGCTGACACCGGTCAGAGCGAGCCGCTCACCAGCGAGCGACGAGCTGTTGAGTTGCTGCTTTGTTCAGGGATGTGCCGTCGTACTGCCGCAGCACACAGCAGCAGATCAAGGTAGAACTGGCCACCGTTTTGTTCCGACGTCGTGGCGAACCCGGTGTGCCTGAGGTGCGTTTATCTCGTATGCTGGGATTTTATCGATGGCAGCAGATTGGTCTAATGCGATTTGTTGTTCACGTGTCGCCCATGCGGCTCGCCCGCGACCGCCCCCCCCCCCCCCCGCGACCTGCTGGTCTCCCGCTTCGACGGCGGCTGGTCCGTCTCCGTCCTCCTCGTGACTCGTCCGTCTCCCTCGCCACAGGAAGAAGCCGGCGGCCCGCTCTGGCGGCAAGCGGCCGGCGACCAAGGCGCGCAAGAAATCGGCGGCCAAGAAGCGGCGTGCCGCGTCTGGCGACCGGGCGGCCGAGAAGCCGCGCCGCCGCGTTCAGTACGCCGACGCCGAGCCCGAGGCGGAGGTGGAGCCGCTGGCGCGGCGCACGCGCGGCAAGAAGACAAACTACGCAGCCATCCTGGAGTCTGAGTCGGATAGTGACACGGTCAGTGGTGGGCGGGCGTCGGTGGGCCGGGTCACTCAGATGGCGAGCGTGGCCGCATCGGCCGTGTGACTGCCGGGCGCTGGCAGCTGCCGGTGCGCAGCTCTCGCGGCCCCGCTGCGTTAGGGACTGGTTGTGGGGGTTAGGGTATAGCTAGAGAAGCAAACAAGGCTATTTTGCCGACCGACAGGCAGAGCTAGTGGAGTGGGCTGTGCGATCAGTGGTTTGTGTGTGTGGGTGTGGGTGTGGGTGTGGGTGTGGGTGTGGGGTGTGGGTGTGGGTGTGGGTGGGTGTGGGTGTGTGTGTGTGTGGGTGTGTGTGTGGGTGTGTGTGTGACGTACTCCGCTCGGGGCGGCGCGTCTGCAGACCGTCAGCGGGCGGGGCGGGACGGAGCGCCCTGGCCGCTGTTGCGCGCGGTGTGGGTTGGGTGTGGGTGTGGGTGTGGGTGTGGGTGTGGGTGTGTGTGTGGGTTGTGGTGTGACGTACTCCGCTCGGGGCGGCGCGTCTGCTGGCGCGTCTGCAGACCGTCAGCGGGCGGGGCGGGACGGAGCGCCCTGGCCGCTGTTGCGCGCGGCTGTCGGCGGTTGGTCTGGACGGGATGCTGTGTCTGACGCCCTGGTCTGTCGGCGGTCGGTGGTCTGGACGGGATGCTGTGTCTGACCCTGGTCTGTCGGCGGTCGGTGGTCTGGATGGGGTGCTGTGTCTGACGCCCTGGTCTGTCGGCGGCAGGTGGTCTGGACGGGATGGTGTGTCGGATGCCCTGGTCTGGACGGGACGGTGTGTCTGACGCCCTGGTCTGGACGGGACGGTGTGTCTGACGCCCTGGTCTGGACGGGATGGTGTGTCTGACGCCCTGGTCTGGACGGGATGGTGTGTCTGACGCCCTGGTCTGGACGGGATGGTGTGTCTGACGCCCTGGTCTGTCGGCGGCGGGTGGTCTGGACGGGATGCTGTGTCTGACACTCTGATGCCCAACAGCTGCGGCCCATCGAACCCATGAGTCTGGGTCGACGCTTCAAGCGGAGCTCTTCGGAGAGCGACGAGTTCAAGCCGCCGGCCGACGAGAAGAGCGAGTCGGACGAGCAGCCTGGTGAGTGGTGGACCGAGCTCAGCCGGTGGCGCGCCGGGCACGCGCTCAGCGGCGCCGGCGCGCGTGCTGTCGCTCTCTGAACTGTCTGTGGTCCGCTTGTGCGCAGCTCGTCCGCTCATGTCTCGATGGTTCGAAAACTGTCATCTTAGCGACCCAGTCTACCGATCAAGTTGTCGTTTCGCGTGCAAGTTCAGAGCGATGAACTTAATGCGTCTTGACGAAAGTATGATAAGAGTTTGGATGTGTGGACACTTGCAGGTAAATCTTTATTCCTACGTTGAGCGAGACCTCAAAATTTTGGTAAGGTGTATGGGCTCGGCGCTCATCCCGTTTAATTAGTGATGAAGCGCTCATGGTGCTGATGGGGAAAAGACGCGATGCACCGCTCGCATTGTGAGCGTCTTTTTCATTCGTGTTTAGTTTTTTAGTTTGGGATTTATGCTGTCGATTCATATAGCCGTTACTCTTCAGATTCGAGTAACCATTCTCCAATTGGTGTAAGTCAGTGTGCACATCGACACGTAGCAGTACCGGTGCGTTTTCATTTCATATCAGGCATGTGTTGCCGGCAGGGCAGGGGCGAGAGATGTCCTTCGCGTTTCCAATGGAATAGGCTTGAACAGCGTTCCCAGATCAGTTTGCAGATCCTTGTTGACCTGAGTTATGTGCCTGTGCGGTTTAGGAGATCGAGTGTTGTTCCCTTCATTTGCAGAGAAAGAAGAAGCAGAGGAGGCGGAAGCGGAAGAAGAGGAAGTAGCTGACGACAGTGGGGAGGATATGAACACCATCCCCCAGAGGAGGACCAAAAGCAAGCCGGCCGTTGAGGAGTTGGACACGCGGGTGGTCTCAGCGTCCCCCTCGCCCCGGCCGCCATCGGCCGCCGCCGCCACCGAGCCGGTGGCCGCGCCGACTGAGCATCAGCAGCCAGCGGCGGCGGCGGTCGAACCCGCCCAGCCGGCCGCCGCGCCGCTGGAACCCGCCGGTGAGCCGATGCGGGCGCCGCACCGGCTGCTGCAGAACCTGCAACGATCGCCTAGCCCGGCCTCGCCGCCGCAGGCGTCTGCGGCTCCTGTCGGCATGCAGCTGCCGCCGTTGCGGCTGCCGGCTGGAGCGGGGTCAGCGCCGGGCCGCGGCCTGCCCATGTCGATGGCCGGCGGTCACATGCTGGTGCGGCCACCGCCGCGCTACCCGACCGGCCCGGCGGCGGCGACGGTGGCGGCGGCCGGGCCGGCCCCGGCGCCGGCGCCGGCGTACCATCCGCACCCAGGCCTGCCGGGCCGGCCGCCGCCGCTGGCGTCTGTCCACCACCCGTACGGCGCGGCGGCGGGGCCCGGCCCGCCGCGGCCGCCGCACTTCTATCCAGGCCAGCCGTACCACCCCGGCCTGCGGCCGGCAGTGGCGATGCCGGGCGGACCGGCGGCCAGCCCGCACCAGCCGTGGCGGGCCATGTACGGCCTGCGCTACGGGCCGGGCCCGCCGGTGCCGCCGGTGCCGCCGCCGCCGCAGTACGCGCCGCGGCCAGCTGACCCGCCGCCGCCGCTGGCGCCGCCGCCGGCTGTCAGCGAGCCGGCGCCGGCCGAGGCGGAGAGCAGCCGGGAGTTCGGCGGTCTGGTCTCGTACTTCACCAGCCAGGCGCAGAACGACTGAGCCCCTCATCATCATCCCCCACCCCCACCCTGCACCAGTATCGCCCGCCTCATCGCCATTAATTGTTCTCTACTCCGCAAACTGTTGGTCGTGAGCGCGCGACGCGAGGGGAAGCTAGATGTATTTATTTCCCTTTGTGTTATTAAATATGCAGCTTTCCATTGAACCGATTGTGGACTGGTGTGAATCAGATTCCACCGTCTCTTCGAGTAACTCGATCTTCTGGGGCTTGCATTTGTCGGTTTGGAGGGTATCGGTTCACTTTTATAAGTGCGAGCGTTATTGTTTGGGACTACGCGTGGTCGATGCGTCTTCATGTTTTGTACAATGTGACGGTAGATGAGAATGAAGTGAAATATATGCGCTTCTAATCACAACCGCTTCGTCGTGCAGTTGTCTATCTTCGTCAGTGCCCGTTTCCAAGGAATGAACATATCGTAGGGGATTGTCGGAATGTCGCTTTAAACTGCATATAATATAATGGGGAACAATGTAACGCAAGGAAAGTAGCACTAATGTAATAATGATATGAAGCATAAATAGCATAATGATAATGCGAGGAAAGCACGTCAAAGCCCCGCGATATTGGGTCGAAGCTATGCCTGTTAAATTGCATGCAACGAGTAGCTATTGAAGGTTCTAATGACGATAACGGAGGCATTATTCCTTAGTGGAGGCAAGGTACCATTGTGCGAGCGGTGTGGGCGCCCAGGTCACCATTGCCTCGGGGGGGGGGGGGGGGGGGCACCCGTTCAGCTCCTGATCGGTGGCTGCCCCAGGACGCCGCGTTCAGGTGTCGCTCCGTTTTCGTTGAGCGGCCTGCAGATGGCGCGCGCGACCGCCGTGGCCGCTGCCAATGCGGTCTGAGGGAGTTCATTTGGCCGTCGAAGCGCTTGTGGTGCTCGCCCCCCACACCTTCACTCCACAGTCGGATTGGGCCGCTGAGCCGGAATGCTGAGCTGGGCACCAATTGCCATGTACGCATTAGCGAAGAACACCTTCAGCAGTATACAGATACCGGTTAGAAGAGATGTCTTGACATCAGTGCTGCAGTATCGTTGACATTGTAAACAAGGAGACACGATGCGATGCGGTGCGGCGCATCCCCTTATTGAGCGCTTGCAACTTGGACGGGTGCGGTGCTCGGCAGCCGTCGCGCCGCTGGGATAGCAGGGTACGAACCCTCCACGTGGGAGCCGAATACGCTAACCACTCAGCCATTACATTACTGTTGAGCTGGGTTGCGAGATGTTCAGATCTCACGGGTTCCTCTGAAGAAAAACAGCTTTTGACCTCCATAAGATGCCTTGTCCTTCGGGCTTCTGGTGTTTTGGCGCTTCGAAGTTTGGGAGTCAACTTCTTGCAAATGCATAAATTTTGTTGGCCGACACTCTGTCGCCATTATATTTCGGTATGGTGTGTTGAGCGATGTGAAATTTGGTGCCTCCCGAGCACACGGGGTGCTCGGAAGGCGTTAAATTAACACACTCGGGCGGCCGGCACGGTGCGACGCTTTCGGGTGGAGTGTCAGTCTGACCCCTCCCGAGATATTAAAAAGAACGTGAGCTAAAGCACCAAATCCGCAGGGTAGGATCCTACGAACTTCGTTGTGTTGAAAGCTTTGGTGTCGATGTCGTGATCCACGGGTCAGGTAGGGACAAACTCGAGATCAGTGTCCAAAGCGTCTCATATCATTCATGCAGCCATCTTTAATCTCGATGCCCTTCCCGTGAAAAATGTTAATCGAGGTCGTGTCAGATCAGTGAGCTTTATTTGACCTTCAGGTCAAAGTGACTAGAACCTTTCAGTTGGTTTTCATATTTGAATTTAAAATCGGCGCCAAGACCTGTCTTAGGCGGCAAGTTGTTCAAAGTAAAATGTTGAGGGTGTCATTTTAGATCAATGATCTTCGGCCATCATACGGTGAAAATAACTAGTTCATTGACCCCTTTGTGACCAAGAGTGTGTAACGAAAGTGAAAATGCCCTAGCGGTAGGTTTTCGGTGAAAAGTTTATTTTGACCTTGCTCTGACCTTAAGACTTGATTTAAGCCGTCGCCAGGCGGGTCCGGATCTCACCGGCGCCATGATGTGGTCTGGATCTGGCAGTCGGTCGCCGAGATTGCGAGGCTGATGGGAGGGCCGGGCCATGCATACTAACGCCATCTTTGGCTGCGTGTCGTGTTCGACTGTAGTGTGTGACTGACTGGGTGGTTTGACTGGGTGGGTACTTACAAGATACCACTGGCGCCTGCGCTTTTGCCCACCGCTGTTTTCCCGTACATGTTTGCCAAGCCTTCCTTATAGGTCAGGGAAACAGCGACGAAAATAACACCACCGAAGGAACGGGCGAGGTCACTGAAAACCATAACGAACGCTCATAAGAAGCTCGCACCTGAAAGATTGCCCTCCTGGCTCTTTGGACACATAATAGTTCCAGACCATTTATTTGCATGCGCAATATAAGCGTCACCCGGGGAGGACGCGCCGCTGTGATCACAGCGACCGCCCATGGCCCGAGGCCGTGAAGGCGCGGTTATGACATCGGACGGCGCATATCAGACACGCTCCATGCTTTAATACGATGAGACAGAGTAAAACAGAATTACAAGAGCACGTCGTTCCATGGCTGCGGAGCTATTCTTAGCTTCGCTAGCCATTCCTAGCTCATCGGAGTCATGCCTGACTCGAGCGGCGGGGCCATTCCCCGTGCAGGCGGCGGAGTCACTACCCCACCGCCAAGCTCAGTCTGATGATCGCTGCTTGCGTGATGCCACAACTGCACTGTGTGCCGCCATCGGGACAGGCGGCACGGGACGGCGCCACGGCTGCCGGGTGCAGGCCGACATCCGGCCTGCCCGGAGCGGGTCGGTCGCCGCCTCATCGGATACCGCCCCGTAGGAGCGCGCTGGTGCCGGTCTTGGTGGCCGACGCCTTGGTCTTCTTCGCCTTGTCCGTCTGCCAGCACTTCCACAGGCGAATCGTCTCGTCGGCCGCAGCGCTCGCCACCGTCGACCCGTCCGGCGACACGGTCAGCTCCAGCACCCGAGACTCGTGGCCTGTGGCGGTGAAAAACGGTCAGCTCTAGCACCCGAGACTCGTGGCCTGTGGCGGTGGAACACAGTCAACTCCAGCACCCGAGACTCGTGGCCTGTAGCGGTGGAACACGGTCAGCTCCAGCACCCGAGACTCGTGGCCTGTGGCGGTGGAACACGGTCAGAGCCAGCACCCGAGACTCGTGGCCTGTGGCGGTGGAACATGGTCAGCTCCAGCACCCGAGACTCGTGACCTGTAGCGGTGGAACACGGTCAGCTCCAGCACCCGGGAGTCGTGGCCTGTGACAATGGAACACGGTCAGCTCCAGCACCCGAGACTCGTGGCCTGTGGTGGTGGAACACGGTCAGAGCCAGCACCCGGGACTCGTGGCCTGTGGCGGTAGAACACGGTCAGCTCTAGCACCCACGACATTAACTAACTCGTGTCTGGAGCACGTTAGCATGAGTTATCACATCAACCGGCACTAGTTGCCTTTCAACCAGCTGAACGTGTTAAATGCCAGTCTCGATCACAAAAAGCTTTTGTGATGCATAATATAGGCATTTCGGCAGCTTTGACGGACATGAGGCTGGAAATCGAATAACCTAAGAATAGCACCGCAACCTAAAATGCAAATCAAATCATAAACATTCCATCACGGATAATATTCAAGAAACCACGAGAAAAGGCAAAAACACGCGTACACAACGATGCCCGTTTTTCATGCATAAATTGCCAAGCCACCTAGCAGCAAGTTGAAGTACTACAAGTGAGCTAGCCTGTCCGCCTCAGTAGAATTCTGGTACGGCCAGTCTGGCAGCGACTCTTGATGCCGTAAAGACGCTCCATGAAGTGACAAAACGATGCATTGAGCATATGTACATAAAGTTTGTCTTTTACCTAGAGCGGTAAGTTGCATTCAAAAACATACAGATAGTTATAAGCGAGCCTTTCCATATCTGATGCATGCCGCCCCATCTTCAAATGTGAAACATTCCCTTTAACACCCGCGACTTGTGACCCGAATCAGGAAGATACGGCTGTTAATGTTCTTTACGGCTATATTTACGGCTATATTATTTAGTGTTACGGCCATTTAAGTCATCTTACGGCTATTAATGTTTAATGTACCCTTTACGGTCATTTAAGTCATCTTACGGATGCTAATGTTAAATGCATGTCTTACGGCTATTTAAGTCGTGTTTGTCGCCATAACACTTCGGTGGCAAATCAGTCAAGATTCCAATAGCAAGACAGTGTTTCCGTAGCTTCAAGGCCAATTATAAGGCGCCATAAACATTTCGGGCGGCGGGTACCCGTATTGGGAAACTTCCTTACGGTTTCCAACCGGAAAGCTTGCACGAATCTTGACCCTGGGCAGGTTTTTTTAATGATGACGCAGGCGTTACGATTAACGATATTCTGGGCTACCATCTATGCCATGACTGAGCAGTACAAGTCAACAGCGTGCGCACCGATCATCCAGTGCCCTCTCCCACAATATCAGCAGACATGTGGCGGTCAGTCGTATCGTATCTGTCAGTCCCCACCGAAGAACGTTGGTAGCACATCTGCTGCACGGCGTGCTTTTTCTATTAGCCTATAGGGTTCGCGTATAAACGACCTGCTTTTCACAGAGCTGTGAATCAAATTATATCCGGGCGATTTCGACGAGCTCAGCACCAAACAAAGTATTGTTTAATTGTTTTGAACTGATCCATTGATAATTACTTGTCTAAAGCAGCCAAACTTCCGTGGCGGGCCGGCTCAAGGTTTTCGTGGCGTGATTTTTTTTTCTCGTACACCGTGAATTTTCCGAGTTTCGCGGTACGTCAGGTGGTCTCAATCGGTAACGTGGTGGATCCGTAACCGAAAGGTTGTGTGCTTGAAGCGTGTTCTCGAACTTCTTCACTAGTTCTCTATAAAATATGCTAAATTGTTTGCTATTAGCCAATGTATGCTGAAAGTGCTGTGTGGTTTACAGCTCCTCGATAATTTCCTGCAAGACGTCTGGGCACAGCATTCAATCAAATTGTAACTGTATTTCTTTTCTGGCACCTGAGCCACGCTACCTGGTTACCGGCTGCCAAATATTTACTACAAGGCTGGAAATTCAGTACATGGCTGGAAATCTAGCCTTCATCGCACATCTAGTGTATTTCTAGTTTAGTACTGCAGTTTGTTTTTGGTACTGAACTTCGCTATGTTCGGTATCTATTACCCCGAGTCGCACCGCACCATGACAAGAAGCGCAGGGCTGCGATTACTTCATCACGGCGCGACAAGACAAGAGAACAGGCGACGGACATACCGGTGAGATCCACCACCTTGGTCATCTGCGGGTACTTCCAGATGGTCAGCTGGTTGTAGCTGAAGCCGTGTCCGGACATGATCTCCTTGAACTCGGCCGACCAGACTAGCGAGCACACCTGCCAGTTGGCGGCGCGTCGTCAGTCCACAGACGCCACCGGAGACACAGCACGGCAGGTGCGCGCCTCACACGGACACGCGAGCACTCCACCGGATCTGGGCCTCAGCCCACAGAGGCCACCGGAGACACAGCACGGCAGGCGCGCGCCGGGCGACCGCACGTGCGCGCGCCCCACACGGACACGCGAGCACGCCACTGGAGCTGGGCCTCAGCCCACAGAGGCCACCGGAGACCCAGCACGGCAGGCGCGCGCCGGGCGACCGCGCGTGCGCGCGCCTCGCACGGACACGCGAGCACGCCACCGGAGCTGGACCTCAGCGGCAGCTGGTGTGTATGTACCGCACACACACGACAGCGGTGCCTGGTGATGGGATTGCTAAGGCGCCGGGTTCCCTGCGGAGTCGAGCCACGGCCGTGGTGACGGCACATTCTCACTGGTCGGTTTGTGGTGATGGTGCGGGTCCACTGAACATCAGCTGATCCTCCCAACTGTTTGAGTTGCGCAGATGTCAGTAGACCTTAGTTACTGTGAGTTCTTGGCGGTGTCGACCAGGATCGGTCAGGGCTCCTCTTTCTTGTGAGTTTGCTGTGGGTATCGTTTGGCGGCAGGTCACCCGTCATCCTATCTCCTGTGAGCTGCTGCTGGTGGTAGGAGTGATCGGTCGACAGTCGGCAGACCCCTCTCACCTGTGAGTTGATAGCGCTGATCGGCCGACAGTCAGCAGACCCTCTCACCTGTGAGTTCGTAGCGCTGATCGGCCGACAGTCAGCAGACCCTCTCACCGGTGAGTTGATAGCGCTGATCTGCCGACGGCAGACCCACCTGTGAGTTGGTAGTGGTGGTGTTCAGCAGCTGTCCGGTGGAGGCGTTCCAGAAGCGGATGGTGCGGTCTGCAGTGCCACCGCCGGACGCCAGCAGGTGCGGGCTCCACGGGCACCAGGAGACGGCCTTTACAGCCGCCTGATGGTGGTTGAGCGTGTGCAGCGGCTCGGCCGCCTCGCCTGCGGACCCAGCGCGCCGTCACGTGATCCCGCGGGCCCGGACAGCGGTCACGTGATCCCGTGGGCCCGGATAGCGGTCACGTGATCCCGCGGGCCCGGACAGCGGTCACGTGATCCCGTGGGCCCGGACAGCGGTCACGTGATCCCGTTGGCCCGGACAGCGGTCACGTGATCCCACGGGCCCGGACAGCGGTCACGTGATCACGCGGGTCCGGACAGCGGTTAAGTGATCACGCGGGCCCGGATAGCGGTCACGTGATCCGCGTGCGCGGACAGCGGGAGTCGAACGTTTGCGAATGGCACTACCTTTGTCAACAACTGGATTTAGCGTGTTTGGTCCGCCAAATACCACGGCAATCCAATCGGTAGAGTCAAATGGCATGTTTATCATGCCTTGACTGATATGAATGATATGAGCTTGCTTCTCGAATGATAAGAACACCGATAAATCCTTTGCGCCGTTCCAACGATTTCTGACGTGCGATTTTGTCAGCCGGACCACGTTCTAACCAAAGTAATCTTTATGACGGCACCATGCTTACAACGCATGGTGTCGGCATGCTTACAAAGGATCTGGTACATGAGTTATGTTGTGCTAAGCTATTCAATATATTATTGAATAACCTTCGCTAATGATACGTAAGGTGACACGAGGGAAAAAAAATATCTGAACGGCGGCTGCATATTTGGCTTACGCCGTCCTCGGAGCATGAAAATACTTTCGGGAAGGGCGCGAGCCAGATATATAACGCTTGTTCGGATACTTCTCACTCTTCTTAGCCCGCATGCTGTGACCAAGGATTATTCAATAATATATCTAAATTACGTAAGTTGTTGGTGCATGTACGAGGCACATTACACATATCGATAAGACTACTGTTAGCCTTATTTCTCGTAGAATGACCAGCCTAAAGGAGATAGATACATTTATGTTTCGGTTCTTTACCTTACTCAAAACAAACATGGGTAGCCAATTCAAAATTCAAAACTGACTGCCAACTTTGTGGCAACACTGCCTGGTTGTGTGGCAATTTTGAATTTATTACTCATATTCGTTTCGATAGACATATAGCAGAAATATAAATATATCTATCTCCCCAGCCTCCTGGTTATGCTGCGAAGAACAAGGACAACAGTACTGTCTTATCAACATATCTAGATGCATTTTTCGCTATGATTATTGAATTCATCCACAACATCCGTCAGCAAGCTATTTCATTGCACTCCTTGGTTTTACAACGCGAATCCCTGCGCCGGTCCTTCCGGTTTCTGCCGGTTTTAACGGTTTAAAAAATCTGACAAATTATTTCAGGCAAATGCTGACAACCTAGCAAACACCGGGAGCCAAAACTGTGTTACAAACATCCAGCTAACACATGTGGATGTTTTAATTTGAAGTAGCAATACCACAGTTAGTAGAAGCCGCACAGCTACCAGCAAATTGCAATGGGTTTTGTCTTTTTCTCGCGCACCCACTTCACAATCAAAACATGTTTTTGTTATGACATCGCCAGCGACACGAGATGGTTAGTAGTTTTGGCTGAGGCTGTGGTGGGCGTCCCCGTAACGACAATCCGGCATTTAAGTGCCGCGCGCTTTCTTCAGATGCGCGTGTTAACGAAAGGTGCCTCGCTAGATACCAGTGGCATCTCCACTGATCGCACTGCCTGTTAGCAACGTTGATGATGCGATGAAGCTAGTTTTTATCCAATTTGACCGGCAAGCAGCCGCTAGAGGTGCCGAGCCGACAGCAGACGCACCGCGCCACACCGGCCACTCACCGGTGCCGGCCGCCGCGTCCCACACCAGCAGCTGGTTGTCGTTGCCACCAGAGGCCAGCAGGCGGCCCTCGTCCGACCAGCGCAGACCGCAAACCTCCTGCACGTGGCCAGCCAGCGTGCCTACGTGGTGGCTGGGCACGCGCACGTCGTGGTGGTGGATAGCGCCGCTGCGGGAGCCGCTGCAACGACATCGGCCGTTGTTTCAGGGCAGCGCTGAATGTCGGCCCAGAGTCGGCTCCGCTCCAGGGCACCCTCACAGGCTCCCTCAGGGCAGCTGTCGGCTCACCGGCCCTTCTTATCTGCCCGAGCGCCGCGGCGAGTACACCCGCCACATGTGGCGGCCGGTCGCGACACTGACACGCCATTGTGGCGGCCGACCGCGACACCGACGTACTATTGTGGCGGCCGATCACGACACCGATGTGCCATTGCGGCGGCCGACCGCGACACTGATGCGCCATTGTGGCGGTTGCTGCAGACTCTATTTACGTGGTCCATCTCGCCAGCAACGTCAGACACAGCCGGGGGCCCCGGCGCCACGGTGAGACAGGGGCAGACGCTCTGTCCGGCGGCCGGCAGACCGTTGTCTGGTCCTCCGGGCGCTGCGACTGCGCGGTCGCAATGTCCCGGGGGCGTGAACGGCCGTGGCGCGGTGGGGACGAGTGGCGAGGGGCTCGACACCGACCACAGGGCCACGGCGAGACTCTCGCCGGCTGTCGCAGCGTCACAGGCTGACTCCCGCACCATAACAGGCTGACACCCGCACCATAACGGGCTGACTCCCGCACCATAACAGGCTGACTCCCGCACCATAACAGGCTGACACCCGCACCATAACAGGCTGACTCCCGCACCATGACAGGCTGACTCCCGCACCATAACAGGCTGACACCCGCACCATGACAGGCTGACTCCCGCACCATAACAGGCTGACTCCTGCACCGTAACAGGCTGACATCCGCACCATAACAGGCTGACATCCGCACCATAACAGGCTGAGACCCACACCATAACAGGTTGACACCCGCACCAACATCCGCACCGCCACGGGCTGGTAGCCGCACCGTTACAGGCTGGCACCCGGGTGCGCTCACCTGGAGACGAGATGACGATTCCAGGAGAGGGTGGAGACGCGCGCCTCGTGGCCGGCCATCACTCTCAGCCGCTTTTGGCGGGCAACGTCCCAGAGTTGCACGGCGCCCGTGCTGTCGCCGACGGCCAGCAGCGAGCCTGGCAGGCCGGGCCAGCCGCGGCGTCAGTGCACGGCTCAGGCGTCCCGCTCCGCCGCCGCATACGGCGTACAACGAGGCCTATCGCGTCTCAATAGTCATGCTTCCAAGCACTGATCCGGCCGGGTCGTGGTGCCCCACAACACGGCTGCGGGGAGCACGCAAACAAGTCGCGGGGTCGCCAGAACTGAAGGCAACTTGGGTATTATCACTCGCTGATGGCGTTCTGGAACATTTAACGAGCAGAGTGTCGCACGAAACGTGTTCTGGGACAAGAGCGCAGGATCGCGTTTTATCGTCAGCCACCCTCGCACGGCTTCCTGTCGGCCGCGGCCGCCCGGCGTCTTAGTACTGCGACACATACCCTCCTTGACCCAAGCCAGAGAGCAGATATAGTCTTCCTGCGAGTCCATCTGGGTGAGGCTGGCGATGGTGCAGTCTGAGGCGTTCCACACGTACACGGCCGAGCCCAGCGCCACAGCCAGCTGGTTGGAGGCGCTCCAGTCCAGCAGGTGCAGGTAGTAATCGTCCAGCAGGTCGGGCGCGTCCAGCACCTTCTCCGGCATCGACGGGATGTAACGGGTGGAGGGAGCCCGCGGCGCATTGGCCCGCGTGGCGCTGTACAGCACGCGCAGACCGTTGGCGTAGCCTGGCGGCGGGGGAGGTCGCGCTGGAAGGCGGCGGGACGAACAGAGGAATCACACACACCTCAGATCGCCTACCGAGTCAACCGCCAGGCTCCGTGTTAACTTATGCCCTCGGCGCACGGCAGTGAACACAAACTGCTAGCGTGCTCCGCCCGAAGGCTGCGGAAACTGCGCGAAATACGGCAAAGTGGAGGCCACTCGTCAACCTGCATTCATAGCGCGATGATAGACGGCGAACATGTATAGTTGTGCACAGATTACGGATCATCAGAGTTGTTGAAGCAGCACACCTATAGAGCGCCAGTCTCGGCCCGTTAACCTTGCACACCACTCTTTCAGTACGTGTGCGACCAGTCTGTCATTGGGGATTTGTGAAGCATTCAGCTGCTGAGGTCCTGAGGTTACTATTTGAATTGTTCCAGCAGTCTGTCAACAATGCCGCTGTGATGGGCGGTACCGACAATGATTTTAAAATAACTCTGCCCCCTCAATAACCGAAAAATAACACAAGGATCCCGGCACATTTTGGCGCAGTTCCATTACTTAAGCAAGCAAAAGCAACGTTCCTTTTTCGGACAGGCCGTTGGTAAGTCGGAAAAACATTTCAGCGTGCCGGTGCGTTGGATGCCGCCAGGGCCCCGGCCTGCCTCGTCAGCGGGCCTCACTGTCGGACGGCTGCGGCGCCTTGGCGCGGAAGGAGAGGATGCGCGTGTCACGCGGAACGCCGTTGTTGAGCGTCTCAGTCAGCAGCTGCTGCCCTTCGGCCCCGGCGCCGCCGGCCGCCGCCTCGTCCATGCCGCTGGCGCTGGTGCTGGTGCTGAGGCTAGCGCTGGCGGTGGTGTCGGCGCTGCTGCCGCCGCGCACCAAACAGTGGTAGCTGTTCTCCATGTCGGTGGTGCCGCGGCACGGAATGAACCTGCAGCGGCAGCGACCGGTCACAGGGACCCTATGTTGCCGGGATGAACCTGCAGCGGCAGCGACCGGTCACAGGGACCCAATGTTGCCGGGATGAACCTGCAGCGGCAGCGACCGGTCACAGGGACCCTATGTTGCCGGGATGAACCTGCAGCGGCAGCGACCGGTCACAGGGACCCTATGCTGCCGGGATGAGCCTGCAGCGGCAGCGACCGGTCACAGGGACCCTATGCTGCCGGGATGAACCTGCAGCGGCAGCGACCGGTCACAGGGATCCTATGCTGCCGGGATGAACCTGCAGCGGCAGCGACCGGTCACAGGAACCCCACGCTGAGGGCACAACACAGGCCTCCATCCGCTCACGTGGTTCTTGAGTCAGGGTAACATGTGCAACTTCCGCGCCGACACACAACACAAAATTGCTACTATTCGTATTTGGTTGTTCCCGAATCGAGCGCTTTCTTTCCAGGATTCCTTGCAGCCCTGGCGCTCCTCTGCCCAGACTCGATGACGCAGTTAATCCCGCTTGCCCGCCCCCGCAAACACCAGTTCGCTCTGACAGCGGAAACGAAGACGACAGTGACCTGGTCAAACAGTGCCGCGCCACGGCACGCCCCCACGTCCAGCACGCGCGGTGATAAGTGGCGGACTGCCGCCCACAACACCATGTCACACATATATGCACACCTGTGGCGTCGAACACGCTCCTCACTCGCTCCCCACCAGCGCCCCGTAACCACGTGCCCTGTTGCGCGGACCCTCGCACCTGTCGCCACCGTTGGGTGTTTTGGGCGCGCGGGTGGGCGTGCGTCCGCCGGGCCGCAGCGAGAGTGAGCCGTCGACGGCCGAGTGTCCGGGGGTGCCGGCACTCCGGCAGGGACTCTTCTTGCCGGGCGTGCGGCAGCGGCCGGGCGACGACTTGGCCGAGCCGGCCGACAGCACGGGCGTGTTGAGCGACAGGTTGGAGAGGTTGAGGCCGCGACCTGCTGCGACGGCCACCGGTCAGCGGTCCAGGCCTGCACGGCTGCTCACACGGCGCCGCGTCACGGCGGGACAGCATGTTCAGTATGCGCGGCGATGGGTGGCGGACTAATGGACGTCCACAACGGAAGTCTCCGTCGGTGACAAGACGTCAGAGAGGCACCAGCTGTTGGCGTCCGAAGTTCATCAGCCGCCGTGGTTCAGCCGGGCACGTATTAGCTCAAGACAGTCCCCGCGGGCTTGGTGCAACTGTCTTTCTCAGCAAACTTACTTTTTGATCACTGACAATCTTTTGGCAGTCTGCACAACATTTTTAAGGACAAATGTTTTGAATTACTTCCACATTTGGCATTGGCTTGGAGATCCTCCTAAACACAGCTTGTTGCAATTTATCCCTAACCCACCATACAAACTTAAATGCTTCATTTATATAATATTTTTGCAGTCACTCTAACCCTGCCACTTTTCAGCTTTCTGCTCCATACAATGTTCCAAAACCACCTACCATTGCAACACTGACCACTTTACTCAATTGCCAGCTGGCCTTTACGTGTAGGTTGGGTTCAACAAGGCACACATTCTGGAACTTCACCCAGTGCTCCTGCACCAAGAAACAACACATTTTCTCCCAGATGACTGGAGTGAGCACCATTGCACATCATTCAAATTTAATGGCTATTAAGGTTAACAAATCATACAATGCACATGGATACCTGAAGTGTTACCATCCTTTGGAACAGCAAGCTTCTGCACCCCCTGTTCCATTGCCTTCCTCTGCCATCTTTGTGTTGGGAACTTGTTCTCCATCTTCTTATGGTGCCAAACAAAAGGGATTGGTTTCCTGCAGCACCTGACTGCAAAGGGCATGAAAGTAGTCCATACATATCATGCAGACACATTTACCTATACTGTTTGTGGCAGAAGCTGGCATATTCCTCCTTACAACTTGGCACCAAGTGGTCTTCATTTAATATGCCTAGATACACCACATAGTTTGGTTCAGAACTATGCATCACTCATGTGGCATTTAAAAAATGGGCATAGGAGTTTTTGATAACAGTGAAATTCATGTACAAAAGGCATCAACATTTATCATGCATGGAGTTTGAGAGCCCAAATATGATATTAAATCACATAAAATAGGTTATCAGTCTTAGTGTCTAGTCAGACACTGAAGGATATGAACCATAAATTGTCCAAATTATGAAGTTCTCAACTTACTAGATGGCACCCTCCCAAGGTGTGTTGAACAACTTTGGTCAAAGTTGAACTTGAAACAACTAAAGCCTGCATCACACACCTATGAAATTTTTCAAATCAGAAATTCATACAAGAAAATGCTTCTTACGACCACTTTTGGAGAAGCACCACTGGAATAAAATGTTTTTTAGAAGCCAATCATTAATGACAAAATCAGGTTGTAAAATGATGCCAAGAGCATCTGTCCATCACAGGAAGAACTCTTGTTCTCACTTTATGCAAATTCAGGCCCTTCAGTTTCTTTGCATAAAAATAGAAATGAAAAGATGAAAATGTTTATGCTAGTACAATATGATGTCATGCAGATGAACACAGCACATTTTCAGCTGAGCACTCATCTCTGCAGAGCTGAGAAAATGTTCCCTCTTCAAAATGGGTTTTTTTCTGTGTGATGCCTGAATGCTGGTATCTCTATCAAGGCTCAGCTAACTGAGTGGTACAAAGACGAAAGTTTACAAAAAATGCATTGATTTGATTGCAAACACATGATCATGATGATGATGATGATGATGAGTAGGGTTTTAGCAGATACCAATGTAACTTTAAACACAGGCACCCGCGCATGACAAGATGGGTCACCTTTCTCGCTAACCTTCTTTAAGCCACAGCCGAACACCAAGTCTTCTTAAGTCCGCCTTGCTGAGTGCGCGCGGGATAACCTCAAGGCCCAATAACGCTGTTCTCCTCAATAATGCACGCTAGCACTTGTGGCCCAGCTCCAGGTCGCGTCCTACATACCCTTCGAACTGCTTCACGTCAGCGCAGCGAGCGATCGTGTTCTTTTTTTGCCTGCCTGCGCTGCGAAAGCAACAGGCGCGTCATGATTAGGCAGAACTTTCATTTAAATTAGAGACGGGACATTAGAGAAGGGCAAGGAGCCGGACGCGAAAACGAGATACGCCAAGGTGGAACACGCAACGACTCACGCTATTATAGGCGATAAGGTGCCGGTAGTCCCAAATACAGGCTCACGAACCTTAAGAACTTGGGATGTTCAGATATTTAGCAGCGTAGCGGATGCTCCAAAACCGAACGGATTGTCTCCCTCAATACTGGTTCTGAGCAACAACACAATTCTAGTGACTTGTATGAAAACAATCTCAATGCTCTTTTGTTTCATGTTTAACCCATTTACGAGGGGCCATGTTATATCGCACACAGTGTAAGAGAAAGTAAAGATATAAAAATCGTTCTCCAAAACAAAATGAGTCGTCATGACTCAAAGGAGAGGCATCGACGGACGTCAAGAAGCATCCCAACCAGCATTACCAGATGGCGCTCACATGTGGACTTAACACAGGAGCAAAGGCGATGAGGGGGGAGAGAAGCACAGGAGGCACGTGCCCCCTCCCCCTCTAAGGTTCGGAGGGGCCCGGCCAGAGGTCTTATTATGGGTCCGGCCGCAGGGCTTGGCGTTCCAATGCCTGCTGCAGGGCCTGCTACAGCCCTGCGTGCTGATCAGTGGCCCCAGAATCGATTAGGACCCATATATCAGCCAGACACCACCAATAACGCAACAGCCAGCTCCGAGTCGGCACGGGTCCTGAGAGCCCATTCCCCAGGGGGGGGGGGGGGGGTACAGCAGGGACAAATCAGCAGCTAGCAATTTACATTGGGCGGCCCCAGCGTTTATCAGGACCCCACAGCGCCCAACAGGCGGGCCCTGTGTTGGCGAGGGGCCCCGGGTCGACCAAACAGTGTTTGAGAAGGCCCGAAAAGCCTGGAGACACACTGAGATCGGCAATCAAGGCCCCAATTGAAGAGACTAAGGGCACGGAGGGCTGGTCGGAGTCCTATTCGTGGACCTCGGCCTGTGGGAAGGAGCCCTCAAATGACAGTCAGAGAGCTTTTTGCACCGATCGGGGACCCCTGAATCGATATGAGCCTATATGTCGGCTAGGCCACCACTATTACCGCACAGTCGGCTCCGTGTCGGTGTGGGCCCGAGGGTCCACTTGTCAATCAGCTGCAAAGCTGGGCCAGCGATTTATACTGGTCGGGGCATCTGTACCTGTCATTGGCCCAGGTGTCTGACAGGGGGCCCTATGTTCGCAAGGGTGTTTGCTGTGTTCCCCAAGCCGACCAAGGCAGTGTTTTGATCAGGTCTGAAGAGGGGGCCCAGGTGGCTCACCGGAACCGACGATCAAGGTCTCGGTTTGAGGGGTAAAGGGGGCTATACTATAGGGAGGGGAACAGGTAACTGTGGCCCACACCCGTTCTGGTGGGGAGGGGTCAAGGGACGCGGGAGCCCCGGCCCTGCTTGGCCCGGTAGGAATGGGGACAAGCAGCCTGTCGGCTTACATCGTGAGCGTTGTTGATGGACGTCCCGTCGTCCGCGGGGGCAGATGTCGCCGCCAGGTTATCGCCGCCACCTTTCCTTAGCGCTTCTTGCTCTCCAGCACGTCCTCGGGGCTCTCCTGAGAGACTTCTCTCGCCTCCAGCGCCTCCTCGGGACTCTCCGAAAGACTCCTTCAGCATACCTCTTGGGCCATCAGTAATTTTCCGTGATTCTTCCAACTGGGTCGGTCCGCCCTCATTTTCTCCCGATCCGATAGCTTGCCGCCTCGCCCTCTTCCGTCCTATGTGATGGCGGGCCAGCCTGCGCTGCTTCCAGGGCTCGGCCCCCAAACGTGCCCCTGGGCCAGATCTCGGGGGTGGTTTGTCGCCGGCGGGCGGCGCAAGGTCCGCCCGCTCTCGCCTTCGGGCGGTCCCCCTCTGACCAAGCTCTCATGTGGCGAGGCGCTTTTGATGCCGCGGAGAAAACCCAGAAGGCCTACTCCCAGTAGACCTACGCTCACTGGACCTATGTTAGAAAAGACAAACCGTCCCATTAGCCATACGCTTGATTGGGGTGGGCGCGTCAGGAGACCTATGCCCAGGAAACCTATGCTCCCTAGGCCTGCGCCCAGGAGGCCTGCGTCCACTGGACCTACGCTCACGAGGCCGACACCCAGGTGACCTACGCTCACTGGATCTACGGCCAGGAGACCTACGCTCACGAGACCTATGCTCACGAGACCTATGCCCAGGAGACCTGCACTCACTGGATCTAAGCACACGAGGCCTATGGCGACATCATTTCCACATTAGCGAGTCACTGTTGGCTGGTCGGCTGCCACCTGTCGTGGGGAGGGTTAACGAATACTGGCCATGAAAGGCACGAGATAGCGATGCCTAGTGTTCCATAGGTCTGCGTTGCATCTCACCACCGTTACGAAAAAGTGTGTGTGTGAGGAGAGAGCGGGAGAGAGAGAGAGAGAGAGAGAGAAGAGAGAAGCGAGAGAGAGAGAGAGAGAGAGAGAAGAAGAAGCGAGGGTGAGGAAGAGAGAGAGAGAGAGGAACAGACCGCATTTACAGAATTTGTACGGAGGCGTATAACATTGGATGTTGGTGATAAGTCCATGCTATCAGACCTAAGCGTCCGGATAATTGCAATGTGTGATTTTTCCAGACTGCCCACTGACAGGTATGACCGGGAGGCGCTGCAATGACGTGCTCGTCCCAAATTGTGCAGCGTTTTTGCAGCGTGCTCACGAATTTCGAACTTGTTTGGTGTTTCGAACCTCTGAAAGAAATATGTCTTATGACATGAGATGAAGTTCTGTCCTTTTCGAGTATGGCTCACTATGCCGAGAACTCGATGGAAAACTAAATATATTCAGCACATGGCGCCTAAGCCAAGTAGGCGTTGAAGGGTCTGTGGACTTTGGAATGGGAGCCGGTGATGCGGCTTTTCGCAGACCAGACCAGGCCAGAGGCCTCGGTGGGGTGTTTGCTGAGATGTCACTGATGACGGATGATCTAAACACTTCCTGGCGTACCTCCTCCAATTCCCTCGAAGGCTGCGGAAACCTGCCCTCCCTTTCGCGAATGTTTTTTTTTTCATTCTGAGCGTGCGGGGAGGAGGCAAGGGGGCGAGCGAGTGGCCGGGGTGATGATGCCCGACGTTCGGTCTTGCTCGAGACGTTGGCAGTGGAAGTCAGTGGCGGATCCAGGATTTCGTCTAATGGGTAACCACGCAAAACTGGGCCTCGGAGGAGTTTGTGGCCCCTCCAAGACAAAATATCGGATTTGGCCATCAAATTCTCAGATTCTCCTTTCCTATTTTTTATGGGAAAACTGAGCGCGCCTTCGCGCAGCCCTTGCAAACGAAGATAATACGTATGCGCACGCATGAGCGCATTCAATTTCTTTCGATCGTGGGTACTGAAAGAAGAATAATTTAGGAGAGGACACGACAGCATGACTATAGCCAGGGTCAGCAGGGGAGGCCACACGGTTGAAAAATGATTCCATGACGGCGAAAAGTCCCTCCACAAAAATTGCTTCCAAAATTGAGTGCACTTAAGTATGGATGTTGAAGATTCTACAGAATGCATATCAAAGCAGCTAAAATTGATCGAGTAGAGGTAGGTTTTGCTGCAGCGCCTCGCGAGGCACTTAGAAAACGGGCTGAAAAAACTGAAAAATAGTTTGTTCATCGATGAGGTCAACTTTGAAGAGCTGCAGCGCAGAGCCCAAAACAGGGTTGATTTTTGAACAGAGTGATACATCATTTAATTTTGTTGACACACCATTGCCTATTAACGGCGTTCCTAAAACTGTTATCCAAATTTAAAAATCTGGTAAGAGAGAGAGAGAGAGAAGAGAGAGAGAGAGAGAGAGAGAGAGAGAGAGAGAGAGAGAAGAGAGGAGAGAGAGAGAGAGAGAGAGAGAGAGAGATAGAGAAGAGAGAGATAGAGAGAGAGAGAGAGAGAGATAGCGAGAGAGAGAGAGAGATAGAGAGAGAGAGGAGAGAGAGAGATAGCGAGAGAGAGAGAGAGAGAGAGAGAGAGAGAGAGAAGAGAGACATATATATATAT